AAAAACGAAAACGAAAAATAAGGTAACTATAGTTTGAGGTTAGAATTAGCCAAACGAACAGGCGGACCTTCTTGCTATTTTCAGTTTAACAGACCTATGCTGTACGATGTTGGTTGGAAGTAGCAGGAGATTGGTTAGCATTTAGTGTTTGATTTTCATTCTTCATTCTATTTGATCTTGTTTTTATTCTAAGGTTCCATCTTTTGAACCGGACATAGACGTAAAAGACGTATAGAAAAAGGGCGTATAGAAATTGCGGTAGTGATCTATATTTATTACTAATKACCTTTCATGCGTATAAAGCAGTCTAAACTTAATACAAAACATTACAGAGCGCCTTTATAAAATGTAAACTATAAAAAGAAACATGTCGATAACAAACCTGCGCTTCTTTAAGGAAGGATATTGCCTGACCCCAGTTAGACTCGGCAAGAGCAAGAACAGCTAGCTGTACCAAGATCTTTGCTAGTGTGGAATGGTCTTCAAATGCCTACCGACCGAAAAATAGAGAAATATAGTTGTAATGTGGAACACTTTTTGTTACTACATTATTTATTTAAGGACTCCAATACCAAAAACGAAATTGGAATTGTAAACCAGCATTAAAATCGGTTGCTAGGATAAGAAATTTAAATGATTATTTTTCAGCAGAAAAAGTTCAATGTTCAAGTACGACACAAGTACTTACCCTGGCCGATATGTTGGCTTCGTATAGTAGCTGTCTTGCAACTTGGTAATGACCCTGTAAAAAACACAATCAAATATCATTAGATACTCGGAAAATTGATAAAAACTTCCGGAAAATAAATAAATAAATAAACAAATAAATGAATAAATAAACAAATAAAACAATTACCGGTTTTGGTTTTTTATTGAAAAATTGCCTTTCTTTTCTTAAAAAAAAAAGGTGTAACGTATTTTCAACTAAAAACAAACCAACAAAAATTCAATTTTTGTACGTGAATGACGACTCACTCTAAATATCGTCTTATTTCAGCTTATAAATGTATTCTTCGCACCTGGTTTATAAGTATTTCAGCCTGAGCAGTCCACACTTCTCTGTTTTTAACGCCACTTATCACCGTTTTGTACTTATTCCAGGGTTCATACTCTACGTCACTGTTCGCTAATCCAGGACCACGTGATCTGTTGTCAAGGTTACTGGGCTTGTGATCAAATATGATGCTTTTAGTTGCTCTGGTACGCTCTTCTTCAATACTGACTTGCCTTTGCTTTTCCTTCCAAATCTCGATCTCCTCACGAGACCTCGAAATAGAAAGTTATTAATCAAATTAATCAATCGTCTGCAAACTGTGTTTATCATTGGGTACATATTTATCATTGTAAAAAAATATGGTGACACGTGCGCGTAGGTTCTATCGTCAGAAACATTGGGAACTTCATCGATATGTCATTTTGAATATGAAACACTTGTCGAGTTGATAATATACATGAAAAAATTACTCAATTCTGATTGGCTTAGAGCAATGTTGTTCAAACGTAATACAGTGCAAAAAGTGTAATTCAGTGCAAATTACAAACGGAATTATCTTTTTTGATTTGATAATAAACAATAGAAAATGATTTTAGCCAATAAGATGACTGATTATTGTGACGAAAAATTTGAGGAACATTTGAAGCAAATCGAGGGGGAAAATGGCAGCTATTTTACTAGGCAAAAGTAAGACGATTAAATACGATGTGGTAAGTACTTAAACAATATTTTGGTCTACGAGATCCCAAGAATGAGCCGCAAAGTTTTCTGAACGCTTTCAACAACTGTCAGGAATATTTTACATATTTTCGTCTCTTTCTTTTGTAATTTTTTTCAGATTTGTTATTACTAAGTACGGTCTCGTGCAATTTCAAATCCTTGAAAAACACATGCACTCGTGCAAATTAATCCCAAATTGAACTCGAAACCGTGTTATTACCTATACTTAGTGAGGCATTCCAGTCCAATATAGCTTCACGCAAATAAGTGCAGTTCAGTGCAGTATTAGCCATTACGAGGTTGAGGAGAAGACTGGGTCGAGTTGGCACTGCAGTGCATTGTGGGTCTGTTATAGGAGACTAAATAGACGCCAYCTTGGAAATATGTCCCCGATAACAGTCCCTCAATGCACTTCAAAGCCAAGTCAACGCAGTCTCTTTCTCAACCTGGGAATGACTAATATTCGGTTTCCTGCAGTGTAGTCCTGTCCAGTGAATTGCATTGTAACGCAGGTAGTCTACTTTAGTTAAACGCACACCATTCTCTTACTCACTTTGCCTGTTCTTGTTCTGTTAGGTATAAGTTCCCGGTAAGTCTTTCATGGAGGGAGGCACCAGACAAGAGGTTCAGCTGCTGACACAGCTGCATTATCCTATAAGTGACATAAAGAAAACAATTGCAATGAAGGTATTCAATTATCCACCAGATAGAAAAACTATATATTGTATGGTGAATACAGTTTTACAAACAATTGCCCTCTTTCACTATGACGTCACATCAAAACAATCTATTGTTTAAACGCAAAGGATCATGGTCGTCGGAGGGGGTCAAATCAACGCGAATTCACCGAAAATTGTTCTAAAACCCGTATCAATCCACGAAGAAAAGTAGAATAGCCAGCAAACGCTCAGAATATTTTTTAGTACATATTAACACATATTATATCTGAAAACCAGGCCATTTTAGATTAAACTGTTTCGCTAGGAGCAAATTTGGTTGAATTTTCTATTGGATTTGGCGATTCCATCCCCCACATAAACAAGCAGTGACGTCATAGTGAAATAGGGCAATTACATGATACAATTATAAAGGTCTTTGTAAAACTATAGCGGCCAAAGTAGCAAATGTTTCCTTGCAGTGAAATCCTATTGAATCTTAGTCTTAGGTTATTAGCCTTGAAATCTTCAATTTTGATGGGCTTTTGTATAAATCCAGTCTGGCCTTGTGTTAAGCCAGAGTTAAGAGTTTGCCAGAGTCTAAATAGAAATCGAAAGCTTCATTTTTAGCAAACCTCGTTAAAAAAATTAAATTTACGACTTGTCTTGGTCTTCACGCAGTGATGGCTTAAAGGCTAATGACCCACGCTGTAGATAGACCATGTGACAATACCCTAGAGGGGGTATAGGACCAATGCCACCTCCCATTAACCAGGGCTAAAAATAACGAATGGTTAGCCGCTGTTTATCATAACTCGTTTCTGGCTAAAGTTACCTGTCAAAATGACCAGCAAAGCAAAGATTTGACAGGACAAGTTATATTTTTAGCTCTGATTACTCCATCATAAGTATAATAATCTCCCCCCACCCCCTCCAACCCTTCGACAAAAAATTCTTACTTATTTCGTGCATAAATGACTTTGAAGTCCGCGCAGTGTTCGTGCCATGTTTTGGGAAATTGATTGGATGAAGAGTAAATTCTCGCGCAACGACTGTGTTCACGCAGCAAGCTATTCACAGTCATATGAAAACTACTCTAAGACCGCAACTACATTAACCACGGCTACCCAAACAAATTTTAAATCAAATTCACAAATCGCATATTTGACGCTGAATATCAGAATGGTGATGAATTCCGGGGGGTAATCCACAACCGGCAGAACGAAGCCTGGGAGTGGATGAACAAACAATGAATGGTGAGATAAAACAAAGAACGCAGCTCACATGTAGAACAATACACATTGTTCACCATAAATCATGCTTTCTTTGTGTTTGTTATTTTGTCCAATCCCAAGCTTCGTTCTACCAGTGGACACCGACCCTGAATTCTTGAGTTTACTTTTGAATGGGAAAATGTGAAGATTTGCGCAAATACTATTGTGTCTTTAAACACAATAAAAATTAACAAATACACATCGGTTTTTTATGTGTCTGTCCTCTTATTGACGATAAATTAATGGTGGATCCGCATACTACTTTGACAATGTGATGACGAAATTTATTGTCAATAAGAGGACAGACACATAAAAACTGAAACTGATGTCTATTTGTTTTTTACAATAACAAAAACGATAAAAACAACTCATTTTTAGCGATCAAAACAACCGACGGAAAGAGCGCGCGCTCGTTGACGTCAACTTTATCTGTCTGTCCTCTCATTGATGATAAAAAATAACCAATCAGCGCGCGAGAAATTGGTAAGTTATTGTAAAATACTCAATCGTAATTGGCTAATTTGTATGAAAAAATTTTGGGTAGCCTTGGAGACGGTTGGCATAGTCGCGCCAACACAAATGGACATTTTTTTTGTCTTGGGGTAACTTACAAAGGTTCAGTGAAGTAGCGTAGCCTGGAAAGAAATGCATTGAGTTTGACAATAAACAAATATCAATTGTAATTGAAACTAATTACCTGAGGTGAACAAGTCGCTGAAGATGTTCTTGCTCCAGTATCAAATCCGCTATGACTTGTGACATGACTAACACAGGTAGCCCCAGCTGATGATAACCTAGCTCACCGAGATCATTAACTAGTGTATTTAGGTAGTACATTGCCAGCATCTACATATAACAAAGCTAAATGTTAGGAATAAAATAAAACGCATTTGAAATGATTACTACTTAGTCCGAGTGTCAAAAGCTGGAATATGCGTATGCGTTAGTTTTGAACTGATTTACCAATCTCGTACCCAGAGCCTTCGTTTCTTCTGGCCTGCGGCGAAGAACGAGGGCTCTGGCATAATCCATATTTTGGCGCAATTTTCGGAAAGTGAGATATAAACGGTCAAAATAAGCAAAGTAAAAATTAAATCGAACTCAAAATCAAAGTAAAAATCATAGTACGAACTAAAAATCGGGGGGGGGGAATATTTTTAATTTTTGGCAAGTCTTTGAGTGCGTGCGCTGTTATACCGGAAGTCCAAGAAATCCTGGTCTCAATCATGACGACGAACCATCTCCCTTGAACCAAACGTTATAAAACTTTACTATGATCATGTATCTTATTTTATTAAATTATTTAGTTATGACCGAGCCAAAAAGCTTCTATTCTCAAATTTACAGAATATTTAAAAACCTTTCTTTAGCGCTCTCTGTCATAAGATCAAAACTAACCGGTTTTTTGATGCTGTTTTTGCTGATCATTGACCCTGTGATGTCTTGTTTGAAGTACTCTTGAAGCTAAAAAAGAGAAAGAAACCATAATGGTTAAGGTGACTGCTTACTATTTGACAATATCCGACTGTTCCATTTGATCCTACGATGTGTGCGCGCACAAAAATCGCACAAAGCCGCCGAAGAAGAAAAAAGAAAAAAGGACAAAGAAAGAAAGAAAAGGAAAAAAGAAGAAGAAGAAAAAGAAAAAAGGAAAAAAAAAAAAAAAAAAAAAAAAAAAAGGAAAGGAAAGGAAAGAAAAGAAGAAGAAAAAAAACCCAGCAAAAGCAATATGCCGTTTCCATGATGACTACCAAAATGTTACAAAAGGAGGGGGGAAGAGAAGAGAAGAAAAAATGAGAGTAGAGGAAAGGAAAGAGGAGAGAAGAGAAGAAAGCAGTATGCATACCTTCTCTGGTAGTTCGAACGTCGACCAAGCCTCCATCGATAAAGGCAGACAGGATCTGGAGCCGGCCTTTTCAGATTTACTCTGAGACTCGAAAAAATAAAAAATAAAATTTTGAAATCCAAACCATGATACATTAAACGAGGTTTTTTCTTTTTTTTCTTTTTTTTCTTTAGGCTCTAATTATTTATTCTCCAAGCAGCAATGGCCGTATTTACACGGCATAGTTTCTGATGTTCTTACCATGACTTTGTTTGTACCTTTGTTTGTAGGTTACGATTATCAATAATAATTCTCGATATTTCAACGTTTTGGTAGAGGTTGTTGTTAACTCTAAATGAATAACTAAGTGAATAAATACCTCTTTCTTGTCTTTGCCTTTCTTGGAAGGAGCTCGTTCACCTGGTTTTCCACCTTCACGGATCATTTTTTCAGCCGAGTGGATTGATATCTGGCATAACATAGAATTTGTACACRCGATTACAAAGATCACATGGGTGCATGGCGCTCGCGGCTAACGCGTCGTCTTTCACCGCTGTGAGTCCAGCGGGTCGGGTCCAGCTGGTTCGAGCCCTGCGGTCGCCACATGTGAATTGAGTTTGTTTGGTGTGTTGTTCTCTCCTGTGCTACGAGGGTTTTCTCCGGGTTCTCCGGGTTCTCCGGTTTCCTCCCTCCGTAAAAATCAACATGTGAGTTGAGCGATGTGTGCATAGAATATTGAATGTAGTGGTAGTGCGTGTAAGCGAAAAGTGTCCCCAATTAGTGCAAAGCCGCTAGAACGACTAGACACTTAAATAAAAGTGATTTTTTATTATCCTTATTACCCCAATAAATTACGCGAAAGTGAAGACAAAAGTCAGTGAATTGCCCTATTTCACTATGACGTCACTGCTTGTTTATGTGGGGGAGAGAATCGCCAAATCCAATAGAAAATTCAACCAAATTTGCTCCTAGCGAAACAGTTTAATCTAAAATGGCCTGGTTTTCAGATATAATATGTGTTAAAATGTACTATAAAAAAATATTCTGAGCGTTTGCTGGCTATTCTACTTYTCTTCGTGAATTGATACGGGTTTTAGAACAATTTTCGGTGAATTCGCGTTGATTTGACCCCCTCCGACGACCATGATCCTTTGCGTTTAAACAATAGATTGTTTTGATGTGACGTCATAGTGAAATAGGGCAATTGCTCATCACAGATTGCAGATCTAAGGTTTGAAGCTAAAGTGCAATGAGCCTTCCAGCTCGCACTAGTATAGCTCRGGTATAATATAACCGGTACGATTCCAGTAGCACTAACTTTACACCAGGGGATGGTATCTTACCTCAAGTATTCGGTGAACAAATCCGCTGGAAATCAAGATATAGTCTGCATAGTGTGGTGATGATCTACCAGCCACTTGAGCCAACATAACGTGAATACGACACAGCGTCTCCAGCTGACGTACATCGGTCATTTCTTCTGTTTTAATAGCGATTTCAGATGGCCGTTGACCAATCACTGACTCACGTCGACGAGGAACATATTTGGTTGCATTTGGGCTGCTGGTGTCACTCATACCGTCTCCTTCTCTTTCTAATGGGATCGTTAACAAAGTCATGACATTGAAAAGTTCCTAAAGAAGGTGTAAATACAGCTAAAGTATTTCAAGATCTTGTATACCTAGAGTGGGAGATACGCCTTCCTTTGATGTCTTGTTAATCAGTATATCAGCTGCCCAAAGGAACTACGGGTAGATAGGATAAGCATAAGTGACAACATTACTCTTTGAACCAAGCATGTGTTTTGAGTCACGAAATTTAACGTAGGGACTTTTATGATTTGAAATATTCAAATAGACCTTTCTCATAAATGGCCGCCAAACGCGGTTGGGACTAGGGACAATTGAATGGAAGCGAGGTAAGTAAGGCCTCATTAATAAACAAACTCTACTCAGTACGATATTTTGTGTCAAAGTCATTTATCTCACCAATTCGAGTTCTTTTAAGCGTCTCTTGAAGTAAGGGTGAATGACTTTGACACAAAAGATCGTACTGAGTAGAGTTTGCTTATTAATGAGGCCTTTCTGGCCTCGCATCCATGCAATTGTCCTTAGTCCCAACCGCGTTTGGCGGCTATTCATGAGAAAGGTGTATACGTATACTAATAATGTAACTGTTTAATTGTGTGCAGTATATTAATCTTCCTATTAGAGAGTTTAAGATTCTCGTTTACGGCAAACGTGAAACGTCAGTTGACCATTAAAAAATTCTTTAGAATTAGTGAAAAGGAATTGCAAAAATCTCCAAGTAGTAGATAAACAAAAGAATACTTGTCTTTATCGGGAAGGTTTGCAAAAGGTAAAGTGAAATGTAGGGAAACGATGAATATGTGGTCACGTTTGCCGTTTGCGGGTAGGAAAAACGGGAATCTTAATCTGTCTATTGTTTGCCACCTTATTCCCCATTGACTAAAGACAACCAATAAATGGTTACCTGATCCATAGCATCAGTTTTCGGGTATTCGTTAACAAACAGCCATTCACCAAACTCAACAAGATACTCTACTTTCTGCCAATCACTTTCTGGACTCTGGGAAAAAAGAAAATTACTTGTAAACCCCTAGTTAACAGTCTATAGGCCGATCTTTGTTTAGTTTTTTCCTCATAGCATAAAAAGATTCAAGCAAACCGACACCAGTCAAGTCTTGCCACACAAGCATACATTTCTTTGTAAATCATACCGCTTTCAAAAAACATTTACTCCCAAAATATTGAACATATTACTCTCAAATTTTCAGTAGTTACTAAATAAGACATTCTCTTTCGATTTCTGGGGTCGAAATTAAAGATAAGTAGCGCGATTGTAACATTTTGTTCATACTAAGGTAGGTCTGTCAGCAGCATAATCAATTCCGCTTATTGAACGTCATTATCTCACCCACAGCTTCACAGACTACTTTGACGATACGACGGCCATCTTGGATCGCAACGCATCATGGGTCATCCAGAGAGTTAATGTGAGGGTGGACGATATATTTATCTTTACATCGCCTGTTGTTATTACAGTCAAAGACGGCACATTGATCACCTTTACCCATGAAAACAATAAATATTGAACACAAAAACTCTATATATTATCCGACATCTTTGTTTCGTTTTGCCCCCTGGACACCTCATAACGCCCTGCGATCCAAGATGGCCGCAGTATCGTACAAGTAGTCCATTCATTGTAATATTTATACCTCCAGCACTTCTATTGCATTCTGATAAGCAGTGAGTTGGTCCAGTGGATCCTTGGAGTTTAGCGCCACGTGCCTCCACATGGATGATATGACGTCATCACTTTCGTTCTGATGAAAAATACCAACATTTTAAAACTTAAGAAAATTTTAGAAGGCAGATAATGTATTGGGACGATTGAATGCTCTGGGGTAACTTATATCTGATTAATCTACAGTGGGTTATCAAAGGGACGGTAAATAATTTATCCCAAAAATACACTATATCAGGAGAAAATAAAGCAGTTGCCAGTAGTTCGTTTGCATTGGCCTTTTCAGAGTTCGATAAACAGGATGCATTGTGGTCTAGCTTCGGTACAAACAACACCATATAAGGCATGATGAAAAAAAGATGTTTGTACCGAAGCTAGACCACAATGCACCACGTTCACTATCTCAGAAAAGGTCTATGATGCATGGCGTCAGTTTACCACTAACAAAATGCTTCGCGAACATTTTTTTCCCCTTCAAATTTGTATTTCCTTATGACGATAGTAAAACAATAGACCTATCCCGAATTCCTACCTTGAATTTTCCCATGTCAAATAATACATTCCTTCCAAGCTTAGCATTTGTAATCACACGATGCTTGAATATCAACCTTTATGCATAAAATATTAGTTTTTAGATTTAGATTAGTAATTTGTTCAGTAACTATTAGTAAATACATTGGAAAAAAAACAAAAAACAAAAAAACAAAAAACAAAAAAAAAACCGTAAAATAATGGAGAGTAGGGGGGGGTGTGGGGGTGGGGAGAAAATATATCGTATTTCTTTTTCTATTTTATTGGGCTACCTATGGATTGGGCGGGAATTTTCGCGCCAAAACGCGTGTGCTCGCCCCTCCAACTCCGGTACTATCTCTACACCAATGTAATCATGCATGCGCTTGATTTTGTTTCTGCTTTGCCATGTCTGGCATGGTATTATCAAGATCAAAGCGAGAAAAAAAAATTCAATAAAAGTCAATGAGTATATTACTTATATGATGATGACTTACAATCTGTGATGTGTTCTGGGCATGTCCTTGACTGCTTGATCCATTGCTCGTAAACCTTGTTTCCAGTCACACTAAAAACGACATTAAAAAAAAAACACTTCTACATTTAGATATTATCCCTCTCCGTAGCCATATCATTGTATAGAGGCTCTGCACCATCAACGTGATGGCAGCCATGACCGGAGGCACAACAATAGAGCCTTCCCTCCTGGGAAACCGAATTCTTTCTCATGTAAATCAAATTAGACCAGATCCAATTGTTCCTGCCTCCTGTGATGGTGCAGAACCTCTATTTCTTATTCGTATTGTTACAGAAAAAGGTAGTCGTTATCACCGGGCTACAGAGGGTACAGTGATTTACTTCCTTAYATCCCAATCAGTACTTATCCTACCATTACCAGCTTTTTTTCCAGTTGAATTGATCGATAATATTAAAACTAAGACTTGTTCACGTTTAATTTAAGAAACATAGGGTTGCAATTATACAAATTAAAGAAAGCTATATGCAATAAGCCTGAAGCGAGATGACGTTTTACCCCCGACCCTATACCATAATAGTTTTTAAAATTCTTTCATATTAAAATTTTTGATTCCTTAGAGAATACAGGAACAATAGTCATAATTAAAGAACAAAAGCAGTGTGAAAAGGATTATGGCCTAGAGACGGGGGTAAAACGTCATCTCGCTTCAGGCTTATTGCTGGCTTTCACTCAGCTAATAAACGTTTTTGAATTTCATTATCTRCTCCACATGGTGGTCAAACACTGACCACCATGTGCTGTCAGCCAGAAAGAATTGTACTGAAAACTTGCGATTCAGCTGATGAACTTTCCGCACGAGACAGGAAATGAGATCAAGTGAAAGCCAGCAATAGAGTATTTCCCCTCTATCTAATTGCCAATTCCTTGCCACCCTTTTGATCTATAGACCTCCTCGGCTCATTTTCCCATTTATGTCCACGTGTCCATTGATCATAAGATTCTTTATTTGATTTGTATTCACATCCATGTGTCTTCTCATGTGCAACCGTGCGCAACTGTTAAACAAAGAAATGATACTCTAGGGAATGATACGTGGTCTGAAATGAGAAAACCTTGTGCTCGAGCAGAGGAAGTCTATTCTAACTTTCAATAGTACGTCTAATGCACAGTGGAAAGTACCCGTTCGTCACTCATTGATACAGAATCAAATTCAAATAACTTTCTAAACCAATAAATAGTGGATGCAAATACCTTATCAGCGTATGCCTGAAACAGAACGCCATACATTGCAGCTCTCATCATTAGCTCTTCATCAAAAGCACTTGGTAAAGATGCAGTTTTGCTTTCTTGGTCTTGTTTTCCTTCGGTACCTTTACCATCTGAAGAATCTACCTTACCACTTTTACCTATTTTATTCTTATCCACTGGTGAAATCAAATACGAAACCGAGATCAATGATGACTGTTTGATGCGTTGGTATGACAACAAGAGTATTTAGAGTAAAGAAAGCTATCTAAAGGAG